CCCCCACCCCGACGTGTCGGGGGGTCCAGGCGTCCGGGACACCCCCTTAACTAGAAAGGGCCCAGGCGTCCGGGCCACGCCCCCTCTGAGCTGGCAGGGGGCCCAGGCATCCGAGACCCTCCCCCTCCCGCCACGGAGGGGCCCAGGCGTCCGGGACCCTCCACCTGCTCCCCCCAACCCTGGCAGGGGCCCAGGCGTCCGGGACCCCCCCCAACCACTGCAAGGGGCCCCGGTGTCCGGGCCACGCCCCCCTCCCCACCACGGAGGGGGCCCAGGCGTCCGGGCAACTCCCCCCCCTTCCCTTAACCTTGGCAAGGGCCCAGGCGTCCGGGACCCCCCTCCCCCCGGCAAAGGGCCCAGGCGTCCGGGCCACGCCCCCCTCAGCCTGGCAGGGGCCCAGGCGTCCGGGCGCCTCCCCCTCCCCTTCCCAACAGCCCAACCTTGGCCGGGGCCCAGGCGTCCGGGCCCCCTCCCCCCGCTGCCCTCCCCCCGCCGGCCGGGGGCCCAGGCGTCCGGGGGCGAGAGGGGGAGGGGGGGGGAAGTGACTCCCAAGGGCAGCGCCAGGAAGGGCCCCGGTGTCCGGGCCCCTTGGTGGGAGGAGGGGGATTTGGCGCCCCCTCATTTGCATGCATTAGCATAAGCCCCGCCCCCCCGCGGGGCCCCCGCCCGGGCCGGGCGCCAGGGACAGGGCGGGAACAGCCCGTCCCGCACGGAGCCGCACGGGGACGCGGCCAGGAACACGCCAGGAACACGCCAGGAACATGCCAAGAGCACGGCAAGAACACGGCAGGGACATGGCTGCAACATGCCAAGCGCACAGCAGTCACACGCCAAGCACACGCCAGTGTACGTGGGAGTGCACATGCTAATAGACATGCTAATGCACACGCTATGCATATGCTAATGAGCATGCAAATGCACAYGCTAATGCACACGTTAATGCACATGCTAACGGACATGCTAATGCACATGGTATTGCACATGCTAATGCACATGCTAATGCACGCATTAATCCACGCAGTGCACAGGTAATTCACATGCAAATGCACATGCTAATGCACACACCAGTGCACATGCTAACGCACGTGTTAGTGCACACGCTAATGCACATGCTAATTCACATATTAATATGCACAATAATTTACATGCTAATGCACATACAAATGCACACGCTAATGTACATGCTAGTGCACACACTAATGCACACGGCAATGCATGCACTATTGCATGTGCTAATGCACATGTGGATGCACATATTAGCACACACAATAATTTACATGTTAATGCACATGTGGATGCACATATTAGCACACACAATAGTTTACATGCTAACGCACACGCTAATGCACATATTAGCACACACAATAATTTACATGTTAATGCACACGCTAATGCGTGCAGTATTGCATGTGCTAACGCACACGCTAACGCACACGCCAACGCCCATGCCGTGCACACACCAGTGCTCCACGTCCCCGCTCCACGTGTAGGAGCACACGCTAAGGCGGCCGTTCGCACACGCTAGCACACACGTTAAGGGCAGAACACGCTAAGGACATGTTAACACGCGTGGTGGTGGCATTGCTATTTCACATGCCAAGGACACGCTAAAAACATGCCAAGGACATGCCAAGGACACGCTAACGCACACGCTAACAGGCGGCCGGTGTCACCCCTGGGTGTCCCCAGGTTGCCACGAGCTCCGTGTCACCCATAGGAGCCGGTGTCACCCATAGCACCTAAGGTCACCCATAGGACTCAGTGTCACCCATGGGTGCTCCAGATCACCCATGGGTGCTCAGTGTCACCTGTAGGTGCTCAGTGTCACCCACGGGTGCCCGCTGTCCCCAGCGGTATCCCCGAGGCACCGCGAGCTCCATGTCACCCATAGGGACACCATGACCTCCATAGACACTCAGTGTCACCCATAGGTGCTCATTGTCCCCCGTTGTCCCCAGGGGTGTCCCCGAGGTGCCATGAGCTCCATGTCC